ATGATACAATGACCTTATATATAAATATAGAAAAATGGCTAGACAAATCCCATTTTTGTTGTATGTACACGTTGCAGTATATATTTTATATTAAAATTATATGCATACTTAAGTTGCAAGTATAAGTATACTTACAAACATATATATTAATAATATAATGCAAAAGTTTTGTTAATTCACAATTCATAGAACAATATTTATTAATTCACCAGCCATTGTAAATTGTAATTAAAAAGTTAATTTTGTACCCTGGTTGGATGGCTAATTAAGATTTTTTTTTTTTATATTAAATATTAAATAATTGTTTTTAATAATTTTGTATTTAAATATAATTTCACAAAATTATGAAATATAAAATAATGCAAAATAATGCAATAATACAAATCCCTTTAATGGACAAAAATTAAATAAGTAATTAAATTACTTAAAAAATAATTTTAAATATAGTTTATAATATTAATAAATAAATAAAAATGAACATATATAAATATAGAAAAATGGCTAGACATATCACATTGTATGTATATATACACATAAATCACGTTGTATATATGTTCATGTTGTAGTATATATTTTATATTAAAATGTTATACATTTAACACACACACACACACACACACACACAGACACAGACACACACACACACACACATTAATTTGGACAAAAATTATTTAAATAATAAATATGTTTTTTAAAAGTTAAATATTTTAATTTGAAATACATTTTATAATATTTATAAATAAATATATAACAATTAGCACATATACTGTATAAATATAGAACAATCGCTAGACAAAAGCAATTTGTTGTATCTATATGTTGTAGTATATTTTGTAATAAAAATTGATACATTTCATTATATGAAAACAATATTTAACACATTAATTTGGACGAAAATGATTTAAATATGAAATATTAAATTGTATTTTTTTAATGTTTTAATATTAAATCTAATTAATAGTATTTATAAATATTTATTTTCTTGCTAAACATATTCCAGTAATCTGTATTTAAAGCATATCTACTCTAGATATTGTAATTAAATATACAGATACTGTAATATTGAATAACAAAGTACAGTCAAAATTATAATCAAGTTTTTGTGTTTTAGTATGTTCGTCAACACAGTAAAATAAGTGCACATCATTAAAGCGCAACAAAAGCTTATTAAAACATGATTTAAAATGTACTTCAAAGTAAACCTTTTCATTTTGTCATTATTACAATGTGCACTTTTTAAAAGCAGTCATGAAATTGACTCTAAGTACAATTTTATTTTATGTAATTAACATTATATTATTTGCAAAAAAAAAAAAGATTTGAAGTACACTACGAAAGCGCATTTCTTTTTCACAAGGGCTTCTCAACAAAACCGCAGGGATATTTTCACTTCTCATCTTCCTGCAGACAGAGGGTTGAGCTTTATGTGTTTTTGTGCGAACGCATTTGTCCTATTCAGGGCTCCCAGAGCAATCAGTCCGTCATCGGGGGCAGGCGCAGGCTAATTTCCCTCCTCCTCCCGAGACGAATGCTTTGGGTAATAAGGATAATCAATACACTTTCTCACTCTCAGCAGTCTCCTGCCGTTATTAGCAATTTGTCATTAGGCATCAGCTTTTCTTATCAGACATTAGCATCTTGTTTACAAGGCTCCGTCCACGCCCTGTCAAGATTACCCACGGGCCCCGCTTCAGACACACGCTCCCCGAGGTGATGAAGAGATACATCTACACCCTGACAGCTTCCACATGCGCACTCTTGACGTGATTTACCCCGAGAAAATTAATGAAGCACTGACAAGAAGAACAACATGACGGCGAGAGAGAGAGAGAGAAAAAGAGTTTTCTTGCCCTTGATTTCTCAAGAGTCTCGTACAAATGACACCTTTTCCTAATTAATTAATTGATGGCCGGGGAAAACGGCTGTTCGGAGGCTCTGCAGTCTGAATGTACAGCAAACTTTTTTTTTCATTCTGGTTTCCTCATTGGCTGAAGAAAGGCTGACCTTTGACCTGCGCAGTTGTGAAGGACACCAACTGGATCAAGATTCCTATAGAAGATTCCTATTTTCCGTGGAAAAGTTCATTTATTTCAGTAATTCAACTCAAATTGTGAAACGCGTGTATTAAATAAATTCTATGCACACAGACTGAAGTAGTTTAGGTCTTTGGTTCTTTTAATTGTGATGATTTTGGCTCACATTTAACAAAAACCCACCAATTCACTATCTCAACAAATTAGAATACTTCATAAGACCAATAAAAAAAACATTTTTAGTGAATTGTTGGTCTTCTGGAAAGTATGTTCATTTACTGTACATGTACTCAATACTTGGTAGGGGCTCCTTTTGCATGAATTACTGCATCAGTGCGGCGTGGCATGGAGGTGATCAGTTTGTGGCACTGCTGAGGTGGTATGGAAGCCCAGGTTGCTTTGACAGTGGCCTTCAGCTCATCTGCATTGTTGGGTCTGGTGTCTCTCATCTTCCTCTTGACAATACCCCATAGATTATCTATGGGGTTCAGGTCAGGCCAGTTTGCTGGCCAATCAAGCACAGTAACACCATGGTCATTCAACCAGCTTTTTTTTTCTACATTTGGCAGTGTGGGCAGGTGCCAAGTCCTGCTGGAAAATGAAATCAGCATTTTCAAAAAGCTGGTCAGCAGAAGGAAACATGAAGTGCTCCAAAATTTCTTGGTAAACGGGGCTCAAGTTGCTTGAGCTTTGCTGACGTACGCAATGAGAGCAAATCAAACCGCGACATACGACAGAAAATATCTGTCGCAACAACAACTTTAGGCTCAGTGGAAGTTAATCAGAAATTTTCACTCCATTTTTGGAGACAAGCTCATCTCATATATATGATTACACAATGACTTTCAACAGATATATAAATATATATTACAAAAACCACTAAAAAATTACAGACAAATGCCATTTTGTTGGATTTTTTCTTTTATTAAATATAGATTTAAAATATTTAATATTTAAATGTTATATATTTCATTATGTTACATTTATATAACTAAATATTCACATATAAAAACATTACATTTTTAGTTACTCCTAAAATACTCCTAAAGTAATGCAAAGTATTTATTAATTCACCAGGCTTTGACAAAAACGTAATTTTGTTCCCCGATGTCTGATGAAGAATAATCTAAAAGTTTTATAATTTAATAATCCAAAATTAATTTAATATTAAATGTTAAATTTAACATTTATATTAAAATATAATAAAAAAATTATAAAAAATATCTATATTTAAATATAAATTCACAAAATTATATATATATATATATATATATATATATATATATATATATACAGTGGGGAAAAAAAGTATTTAGTCAGCCACCAATTGTG